ACAAGCTGGGAGTAAATTGGGGATGTAAAGACGACTGCTGTGGTCCTGAAGAGAAATAGCCCTGGGGGAAAGGCCAATTCCAGGCCATAAAAGAGCAGCTGGTAGGGCTGCAGTGCACTTTGGTAGCCTTTTGTTTATCAAACAATGCACACTGAGGGGCTGATTCAACTCTGGTTTGCAGCCAGGTTTTTATGGCTTTCTGGGAAATGGATCGGTCAATTCAGAAGGAGGTCTGGATATTTAAAGAACTGAAGGCAAGATGCTGTCAAGGAGTGGCAAAGGACTTGCCTCGCCACTGTCTTTGAGTAGCAGTGCAGGCAGAGGAGAAAACCATTTCAGAGCTGGAACACAAAAGGGTTTATGCACTTCAGTGGCCTTCAGAAATTCAGGCTGAATCTGATTTACATATAAAACACCTGGGAATGGCACCAAACTCCCTGCCTGCTAAATTAGCCCAATTTTGGTTTGCTGGAGTCATGCTAAGCGACACTGGTGTGGATCAAAATATCACTCTGTCTGTGTCAGGGTTGAAAATGAGATCAGTTGCTAAGAGCTATATTTACAAAGCCAAAAGGGAGTAAAGGGAAAATTCACAAGACCACTACAGGTGTTAAAAGCAAGTGTGATGAAGACCTTGCCAAAGAACTTATCAAAAATAATGAAACTGTTCTTAGTATAATTCTTATTAGAAGTCAGGGTGATAGGATGCTTCACCAAAAGTTGCAAGAATGTTGGAGAAGTTCAAGGAAAGACACAGGGTTGGCAGAATTCGTGGTAAATATCCAGCGCTTCCCATTACAAATTTATAAAACTGGCCTTTGGGATCAACTTCTGACATTGCTTTAAAGGATTTAGATGAGACAGGGATGTACCTACCTGCCTATGAGGTCAAAAGAGGGAGCGGTGGCGCCGTTTCCAGAAGACCGTTGAGCTCTCAGGTAAGATGCACAGCAATTTTCAGTAACTGCACCGAAAGATTACTGTGCCTCAAATCCTAATTTGGACATACAGAGGTGTTTTTTAGGTAGATGGGCTGAATCAGAGCCTCCCCTCCCAGTCCTTGATTTTTTCCACTCATATCAATGGGAGACATCACGGGACTGGGCCCTTTGGAGGTTCAGTAGTTAAATGATTTTCTTCCAACAAGGAGGATATTTTGAAAATGAGCCTTCACAGAAAGCAAGCTTGAGCAAAACAGTTACAGAAGACCACTGGACAATTTCCTTTGGAATTAAAAAAAAATCATTAGATTAAACCCAGTGAATATCAATTAAAGTGCCCTAGAGAGTGCTGAGGAAAGCTGGGTCTTCACACCTGGAGAAAAGTGACGTGTGTAAGAAATTACTACCTCTCTGGAGGGCTGTGATCAAGCCTTTTTGAAGCAAAGCCAGCTGCCGGGCACATTGCCCACGAGGTGGCTTTCCTGAGAGAGTTGGCTTGTTTGGCAAAGAATGAAATGGATGTGAGAATGGGTAAACTGAGACTCCATTGTTGCCCGAAAGATCCCGAGAAATCAGATCCTTTGAAGTGTCAAAAAACCAGAAAGATTTTCACAAGTAATACATCTGTCTTGATACCTTTGGAAAACTGTTGTGATTCTTTCTCCGAAAGGATGTTTGGGATGGCTGACAAAAGGGAGCTTCGAGTTTGCAAATAGCTCATTTTGTGCTACTGCAAAAAGGTTTTATGGACTTAAATGTTACAATCATATAAAACAAACAAAGGCCTACCTTTATCCTTATCTTAGATCAGAAGGAAAACAGAAACAAGGCCAAGAATGTGTATTTGAGCACAGGAACCTGCAGAAGAGCCAAGCCCAGCTCTCAGACCACCCAGTGCTTGGCCTCCCCCTTACCTGAAAGACCATCCCTCGAATTTGCCGGATTGTTTTCTTTTCTGGTTCATTACTAATCAGATAACTTTCTGGAGCGATATTTAGACAAATTTTTCGTGTTTACACTGCAACTTTCTAATTGTTAAGCCAGTATGCTGAAACAAAATAGGCGCTGCATTCTTTTAAACAATCCCTTCTGTATTAGAGGGCACTTACAGTTCACAGCCTTTGTTTTCAGCCTGAGATTCTAGATACCAGAATAGATCGATATTGACACAACACACCGTGGATAACGCTAAAGAGCTGATTCCACAGCCAGAGGATCCACTCAGTGGAAAAATAAAATAAAAATGCAGAGCACACCTTTCATCTTCTTCTCCTCCTTGCAAACGCCAACAATTGCTAACAAAAGCCAAACGAAAATGTAGCTAAACTACATCAAAGTGGTGTTGGGAACTGACCTTTCCAAGCCACAAAGCAATAGGCAAGTCAGAGTTCATCTCATAATGGCAACCCAGGCTCGGCACGCCAGTGACGTGATAAAGTGTCTTGGGGCTTGTTCATCCGACACGAGGCAGTATCTCCAGCAAATATTTGTTTTAGCAATATGGGACATAACTTCCTGGTGTGTTGCCTGAGGACTGTGCAGCAAATGCGAGTACCATCCTCGCATGATAAGAAAAGAATGGCTACAGGCTGGAACCAGCTGAGCCCTGGCCCAACTGGCTCAGCTGAGAGCTGGTTCTCCTGGGGTTACCCCCTTGAGGTGGACGCTGGTGTGAAGCATTCACACAAAAGGAAGAAACAGTGCTTGGAGCAATGCCACTGATCTTTTTTTTCCTACACCAGGGCAATGTTTCACTTGCAGAGACCAGTCACTAACTGGAAGAGATGGCCTGGAGCTACAGCTTGACTCTGTGCACATGAGAAGCAGCCACAGAGCAATAGGATCTTGGGCAAGCAAGCGTATACCAGGAAGTTTTTCCTGGAAAAGCCTAGGAAGGTCTTGGACAACAGCCTAAAGAAGGACACACAGACTTTAGCTGCTGCCCAGCTTGGTCCGTGCGAGTGGCAAGGCTGCTGCACGCAGGGGCAGAACCACTCGGCAAGAAGGGCAACCTGCAAGAGGGTCATCACCCCTACTTGTTTCCAGCAAAGCACTTTTCCTGAAATCAAGCAGCTTTCAGGCTGAATTTTGTTCCTGTGCGTTTGTGCATGCAGGGAGGTGTTTGACCCGTGGCCTCTCTCTGAGCTGAGGAAGGTGAAAGGTCTTAATAAAGAGAAGTTTCTCTGCTCTGCCCTGCTGGCCCCATCTCAGAGGACCTCAGGCTGCGAACAGAGGAGCAATGAGTTCACTTTAATGCCAGGCTGTCAATAAGATTGCACAGGCCAGTCAGATGCTGGACTGAGCAAGTCACTGAAGAGAATGGAGAAGGAGCCCATGAGGTTTCACATGATCCTTTTTTTCAAAAGCACTCTGGACGTGGGAATATGCCTGTGGTTCCAGCATGTCCCTTGCCTGAAAAGCAAAATACATGCCCAAAATGAATAGGAAAACGTGCCTGTAAATCCATGCTATTCTTAGTTTTCCTTATAAAGTCTCATTATCACTAAAGCACACAGGAGAACAGAAATCTAAGTAGACCTGGTAAGATCAGATTGTGTTTTATGCCCTTGCCCCACTTGCAGAAAATGCAGAGATGGGAAAGGTTTCTGATCGTGTTTTTGCTAAGCCATCCTGCTGAGAGTGATTAATTTGCAGGGTTTATATGAGTGTGCATCTCAATACTTAGAGTCTGTTTACTCCTCTGATGACAGAAGCACTCAAGAATGGTTTCTTCCCACTCGGGGAAAGGCAAGGAGGAAAGAAAGGAATGTCTTTTCTCGCTGCTGTTCTTTGCACTGTAAAAGCCTGCACACACTTGATTTGTATCGTTAAGAATATTTTCTGGGCTGATATGAAATTTATACATGAGCTTCACTGCAAAGCAGTTGCAGGGCATGCCTCCCAAGGGATTTGCACTGCACTGACAGTTAACTGAATTATTTGGAGATTCCTGTCATTTATAATCAAGCAAACTGGCCCACTGACTAGTGCAGAGGCTGGGTTCAATTCCATGATCCTTATGGGTCCCTTCCAACGTGTAATATTCTATGATGCTATACTTCATTACTTCAACACAAACACCTCGTTGGATTTTGTTGTCCATGTTTCCCAAAGGTACCTGCAGTGGCCCCGTTCCCACTGTGAGGGTTAGGTATACCCAGCAGCTCTTTCATTGTTTTTAAGGAGACAGAGTGAAAAAGAAGGATCAAATTCACCTCCTCTGACTGCCTCTAAGGCAGCTACCCTGGCTCTCAGAACACCCAGAGCTGAGAAACCAGTAACTTCCCAGGGGCTCTTACGCCTGTCTTAGTCTGAGATAAATAATTCCAGAAATGGGCTGGAGAACAGGTTAATTAAAACAATGTGAGCTGAATCCCACAGAGGCATAACTGAGGGATGACCCAGTCAGCACAGGGCTCTCAGGTGAGAGAAGAGGAAAACACGTACAGTTCAGCTCCTACGCCTATGCCGACACCAGATGAAAAGATTTGTCACAAAAAAAAATTAAAGATTACTTGGGGCTCAACAGCTGCAGCATTTTAAAATATCTCCTTGGCTGAAAAGCGTTCCCTTCAAAACAATTCCTCAAAGCCCTCACCTGACACACAGCTCAGAGTTTGATGTTGGCAAATAATAAAAACCACCTGCGAGATAAGGACGCACAATAAGGGTGCAGATTTAGTAATTTTGTAGGTTATGTGTAAAACAAGTTTTTAGGCTCCGGATGTGGTGCTCACTGTGCAGAAGGACCCAGCTTTCCTCTGGTGAGTGACCGGGAGCCACAGCCAAGGAAGTGTGAGGAGCACCAGGATGAAGAACGCCAACCTGCCCCCGAGCTGAGTCCTTCCGGCTGCGGAAGCGATTGCTGCTTCCCTTCTAAGGGCAGTGAAGTGATGCCTGTGCTTATGGTCTTAAAACCTGCCCTTTCTTCGAGCAGGATTTTGAAAGGCATCAGCTGTCTCTAAAGTGTTTTGTAATTACCTTGGTTTATACACCACTGTGGGATTAAAGACATCTCCTTGTCTTGTTAGCAGCATCACCGAAACAGGAGAACAAGGCCTCTTTGAAATGCAGTTTATTTTGAACGAGATCTTTAGCTAATTTCCATAACTGCATATAATACCAGAAGGAAAAAGCGCAAGAAAGAGGTATGGTCATTTGGAGGTTACTCGCAGCCACTTTCTAAACTACTCACTTGCTAGGGAAGCGTTTAACAAGAGTTGAAATGTTTCCTTTAGTTTATGCTCGAGTTGTCCTCTTTGGGCATTTTGTTTCTACGCACCCACATTCATCTACATGCACATATGTGAATGAGACTCTCTTATGCTCAGAGCAAACCAGTTCCAGCTTCACTTTGTGACTCCTTTTCTCATGGCAGCAAATGCATTTGTGTTCCATTTCACTGGCCTCAAAGGAATACCTATGGAAATGAGATTTGCACGTCAGTCTGCTATTGTCCTCCCACACTGATGGGTACTTACTGCTCCGAATGGAGGTAATTCTAAGGAGCAGAGGAGCAAAATTCCAATTTATTTTTCTGCTTATTCCTAACGGTCTTTTATTGTCCTCCCACACTGATGGGTACTTACTGCTCCGAATGGAGGTAATTCTAAGGAGCAGAGGAGCAAAATTTCCAGTTTATTTTTCTGCTTATTCCTAACAGTCTTTTATCAAGACATTATTGGGCCAGATCCTCTGACACCAATGGGGAAAATCACAGTAACTTCAGTGGCTTTTGGATTAGGTCTATTCCACTAAGGCAGAAAGGGACAATTTTTGCAGAGACCAAAAGAGCAGGAAAAAACCCTCCACTAAACACCAGAGTTGTTCAGAAACTGCTTAAGGATATGCTTAAGACCAGGTAGTTAATCAATTTAGCTGTTGCCTTTTCTGAGGGACCTGTTTTCCTAAGATAAGGCACTCCTGTCAGGCTGAAGACGTTCAGTCACATCGCTGACGTCTGCTGCTCTGCACGTCCAACCAGGTCCTTTCGACCAGGAGGAAGGGGACAAACAGCTCCAGCCCAACGGTGACAAAACCCTAGGAGGAACAGACGTGGGAGAGGACAGGGAAAAGTTTCCTACTTACACAGAGTAGGTACTGCACGTCCCTTCGCAGAAGGGCACGGGGACTGGAGCAACCGACTTGCAGTTGTTGTGGACGATGTACTGCTCTTTCACGTTGCGCTTGCATTTGTGGGGCAGGTCGATGCCTGTGTGGGAGAAGGTTTCTGTGAGGCTTCTTCAGACTGGGTGGGGGGAAAGTTTGAAAGGTCTCTGCTAGGCAAGCAAGGGCAGATCGGCCTCTTCAAACTTTTGACAGTTCAAATGCAGAACCAAAGTAACAACCGAGAGGGCAAAGAGGCACTAATTAAGCAAAGCCATTTCCTGCTGGTCAAGGCACTTTTTGATTTGTGGACCAGCTAAAATGAAGACTTATGTATAAGTGTATGTAAAGTCCGTGTCGAATCAAGGCCTAAAGGAGACATGAAGGGTTTGTTTTTTAAAAAAATGATCTAAGTGGTGTTTGTGTCTCTATAATAACCTGTGATTTCTGGGTAGATGCCGCTGAAAAAAAAGACCCTTTTATTTCTGTGCAATTTCCAGATGGAAAAATAAAGAGTATTTTTGCTACAAAATTTCTTATCAGGAGTATAGTTCAAACTAACAGTATTTCAGTTATTCAAAATGACAGAAGTGGAGAATGAAGAATTTTAGGGTGTCCACAGGAAGATGAAGGCAGATTTTTAGCCTCAGCGGTGAGGTACAAAGCAGCTCAGCTGCTGTAAGAACAGTCTTCCAGTCTGTGGAAGCTGCAGATCCTCAGTGTGTGCAGAAACGGGACTGTGAGCAGGGGAGACCCTAAGAGTACTGGAACAGAGGATCAGTGATTTAAGGCACTCACATGTCTTGCAACAGCCGTCTGAAGTCACATCCACCGTTCCCTGCATTGCAAGCACACAGAACGAGAACAGTTCAGACACATCACTAAGCAGCCAGCAGCACGAACGAGAGCTCAGGTGCATTCCCTCATCTCTAACCAACACAAGTTCCTCATCAGACCTGTTCATGTATCAATTATACAGAGAAAAGCTTCAAAAAAATCCACTGAGGAAGGGAGTGAATTTTTTTAAAACTGTATAGCTTGTCACAAGGTGGGTAGGATGCGCTCTGACACGTGCCTGACCTCGTGTAGCTCCTCTTGAAGCCAGCACTAAATACGCGGCGCCAGAGAAAGGCAGCTGCTCCTGGAACAGAACAGTCTGACCTGCGCAGAATCTACCCCAAAGCTAATTCAAGTCAACATCTGTCTTTGTCCCTGGTTTTCAGATCTGCTGCAAAGCCTCATGCTGTTTCTGAAAGTTACTTCTGAAAGTTCAGTAAGTGCTGAAAGCCAGGGCATGAATGAAACCGCCTGCTCGTCTCTGTACCACTGCTTTGCTTAGTGAGGCACCACACGTCAGGAGACACCGATCAGACCCCCCCAGGGCTCCGCAGTGCGTCACCGCTTGCTCAATTGCATTTCACAACACTGGTGTTTCCCCAAGATGAAAAATCCCACTTTGCTATTGCCCTAGTACTCTTCTAAGTCCTAGTGCTTATCCCACAACAAGTAAAATGTGTGTGTTGTCTGCAAATAGTTTTAATTCCATGGGACACTCCGTACAGGAAAAGCACATTTCCTTCAAACAAGGATAATCAGCTCAGAAAAATCAAGAAATACCAAAGTGGCTCATTCAAAACAGTGAAGAAAAGCCCCAGACCAGCAGCAGTGCTCATTCCAAAAGTCTTTTTTTCTGGCTACGAAATACTTACTGGGACACAGTTTGATTCTTCAAATGGTAGGCAGACCTTTACTGTACTAGTCAAGGAAAACTGGCCGGCTGATTCAGTGCATGTGTACTGAGTACAGTTATCGTACGGAGCTTTATAACTCTTTCCAACCTGAATAAAAACGGGGGGAAAAAAATCACACCCAACATAGTATAGCAATAAAAGTACAATAATGCAACTGTAATACAGTCAATGAACGGGCAGAGGGGCTGGATTGTTTGTATCCATGTGACAGGGCTGAGATATCTGGAACTCACATCTACAAATTACGTACCAAGCTCACCCATTACCAGCCTATGAAAATCCCTTTTGTGGCATCTCATTGGAAAGAATCAAAAGCTAGTGGCAGAATGGGTATAGAGGTATGAACAGAAATGCAGAAAGTAGGTGTGTTGATGTATGTGGAGTAAAACATACAGAAAAGTAAAAATAGTTCTCTTAAAGGATTCCAGCAGACTTCTTTATTAATTGATGGAAGAAAAGTAGAAGTGTGAAAGAGGAGAAACCTCATTATAAAGGTCAAAGGATAAGTGCAAAGCCTCCTCATGGAAACGTAAAAATCGTGTATTGGCACAGAGAAGGTATCCTTCCAAGATAAACTATCAAAGAATAAAAGGATGAAATAGAAGAGCCACAGACACAAGCGCTACCAGAGAAGCAACTGCCTGTAAGACAGCGGTCACTGGTTGAGACAGCGTCAGCAGTAGCAGGCTGTAATAAAACCAAACTTAGCCTGAGGCTCAGCCCGTGTCTGCCCAATGCTGAGCTCGCAGGACGCGATGGATTACCGGGGTGTGTTACCAAGGCACTGCAGCAGCTCTGCCACTTCTGATTTCTGCCTCAGCGAACGCAGAACCAGTGGCAATACAGCTGTGTCAGCCCTGTAAGTGCAGGGCAAGGGAATGACACTGTTCCCAGGCTGGAGCAGTGTGATGCCAAGCCAGTATCTCTGCAGCAGCAGTACTGTACACTCGCACCGTCCCCTCCAAATTCTCTCTCTCTGTTACAGGTCAGGAGGAGGAGCAATAAGATGATTTCCATTCCTGCCAGAGATGCATCAACATCTACATTCACTCTGGAAATACGGGCATTTTTAAATCTCCTAGAGGTTCATTCCCAGCCTCAAAATGTATGACACCAGCTCAAAAAATGCTGAGGTCTGTTTGATAATTCAGCCTTGCGTGCAGAGAGCGAGGGAGGGTGTGCTTACCTCAATGGTCACGTTGCCAAATGGAAAATTTGCCACACATGCCACTTGCTGGCACTGGCTGCAGCACTGACCCTCTGCTTCCACAAAGCGGAAACCCTGTGGGAATGAAGTCTCCCTTTAGCCACGTTACCTGATGTCTTGTTCATAATATACCTCTGGATCAAAGCCACACTGAAGATGGCAGAGGAAATGAGCCAACCTTCTGGTTTCATTTCTGTCTTATTTTAGGAACCTGCTGGAATCACTTTAAGGCTGTCAGTCAAAGAGGACTGTTTCTTTCCCTTATTGAACCGTGACTTCTGGGCACTTCGGTTACCGTGAGGATCCTGTCATTGGTTGTTCTTCGGGCTAACACACAAATCAGGCCAAATAAATTAATTCAGCATATGATTACTTGTGCAATCTACCACCAGTGTGTGGTCTGATATGATTATCCACAAGAATTGCTACTGTCAGATGTGAAGATCATGCACCATTTGTTTCCTTCCCTGTGCTTGAGGTATCCATTGGTCTCTTGCCGGATGGGCATGGGATAAAGGATAATGGTTTTACCCTTTTTTAGGTTTGGTGGTGGGTCTGCCTTATCTGGACAAGAATGCAAAAGAACCACTCTTTGCTTATACTCAGCAACAGACCGAACAGTTTGTGTTCGGACTTTCAGCTCAGGAGTACTGAGAAGTGGGTGGTAACATCTAAACCACCGTGCAGTTCTTTTACAGTCAAATCTTTGAGCCGACAGCTGGCAACACCAGCAGAAGGGCACAAGCATCTTTCAGCAGTCAGACTTCTCTTTACCAGGCTTGCAATTGTTCTCCCTCAAGGCACCTTTCCAAGGGTGACCTCTGAAATTTGCTTGAACGAAAATTACCAGCCCTCTGTAAAGAACTTTACCAAAAAAAAATCTAACAGGCGTTCACATCCTGCTGTATTTCAGCAAGGAAGCAGTCACACTATCCCCCTTCTAGCGTACGTCCCCTCCGCAGCCACTGCTGGGGTCGGTGTTGGTGGGTGGCAGCGCTGACCTGTGGGCAGGTGGTTTGGCACTTCACTGGCACACACTGGATGAGGTTGGTCTGGGTCATGATATCCTGCTCGTCTGTGCACACACAGTCCTCGCAAGAGCCTTTAGGCACCATTGCCCCGGGCTGGAAATAGAGAGGAGAGAGCCTGTGGCAAGAATTCAGTGGGTTCTAGAATAAAAAAGTGTCCCCTAGGCTGCCAACAATGAATGCTTCTGCCTGGGATTTATTTTTGGAGCAACTTCCTTAGGTGAATGGGTCCTGATCTCTAAAGCCTCGCACCGTCATAATGAACGCAAGGCTGACATTCCCAAAGGCATCAATCACCTTAAGTGAGTTATTACGTTATCTCATAAATTCCGTGCATCACTTCTTGCTCAGTTTGACCTAATGATTAATCCTACAACATCCAACCAGATTTCAAATTTGTATTCAATCACAATTCTGACTTCTTGAGTCTAAAACATAGGTAAGATCTCATTTAGGAAGCAAGTTACTGGTGTCTAACATTACCTATTCATCCAATTGTACATAAGACTACTGGCAAAGAAAAATTACGAGGCATTCTAAGCCTGCTTTTTATATGAGTGCTGACAATAATAACTTCAGAAAATTTTGTCTCTGATAGCATTAACCTGTGCAAAGAACTGTCTGGAAGAAGACGTACCTTAAATTCAACTCCTCCAGAAACACAAACACTCTTTGGTACTGTAAGAAAAAATAAAATTAAAAGGAATTATGTGAACAGTTACTGTACTTATCTCTGAATTGTGAGCTATTTAGAGGAGACAAAGAGTAGTACTGAGTTTATTCACTAGCCTTAAGTCTCCTCAAAAGGGGGAAAAAAGTAACTTGTACATAATGCTAACGGGGAAGCCCACAGGTACCATCTGCTCAGATGTTATGCGTGAAGTGGGGTGTATTTCTATACACTTGAAACTGGTAGCAGAGCCAACAGGAAGCTGGGTCAGGTATGTGAATCTGGAAATATAATTTGGCAGCAGAGCTGCTGGATGGGTTCAATGTAACCGACACTGAGTATCTGATCAATAACTTGCACTCACTCAATACCAGAGCCACAGAGAACCTGCACCAGTTACTCCATTTCTCAAAAATATAAAGCCTGAGAGGGAAGGGGAGAGGCTGCTTATGATTTTGATTGATTCAGAAAAAACAAAACAGTTCAAGGAATAAATAAAACACCTTAAGGAAACATAGTACTTACTACAGGAGAAGATAGGGCAACAACCATCCTCAGATATAGCAACCACTGGTTGGAAGCCCAAGTCACACGCTGTTTTGTTGATAATGCAAGTTTTTATATCACATTCTGCAATAGAGAACAGAGATTAAGTAAAGCCAAAGCATCTTGTCCAGCAGCATTCCTTGCAGAAACAGCCTGAACCTCCAAGAAATTGGGTAAAAGTAGAAAAGATGAAAAATGGTGGAGTCACCATCCCTGGAGGTGTTTAAGGAAAGGCTGGATGTGGCACTTAGTGCCATGGTCTAGCCGTTGTGATGCTGTTGAGTCATAGGCTGGATGTGATGGTCTCAGAGGTCTTTTCCAGCCTCAGTAATTCTGTGATTCTATGGTTCTGTGATTCCTGAACCATGCATTTTTTGAGTTTGGGACATATTTAGGAGAAGTATCTCTAAGCTTGCTTTAGTAGAAAGCTCTTCCTTGGACACACATTTTGATCCTGCTTCTCTTCCCACACTGGATGTCATCTCTCAAATACCAAACACCCTCATCTCAGAGAAGTGTCAGGGTAACAAGTTGAGATAAAGGTAGATGAATCAGAGGGTGAAAAGCATGAAGAGGCAAAGATGTAAAGGTTGGGACGTGCAAGGCGAAGCACCCTGACAGCGCTCACTGCTCCCTCAGGGCACCCAAGGAGCCTAAGGGACCTCTGCCTTATGAGGGAACATGCTCCCACTGCTGCCAGGATCCCTCTCCTGCATCTTCCGAGAGGTGCTGTGAGCAGCCAGGGTGAGGAGCAGACTGATGAGGAGGTCCTGTGCCGTGAGCATTTGGGACTGGGAGGATGCTAATGGAGAGGTGAGGGCAAACAGATCAAGAACCTCCACAGCAGGCCTTGGGGGAGCCCGGAATTTGGATGAATGGATCTCAATGCAAAGATCAACCTCTCATCTCTGAAAGGACAAGAGCCAGAGCATCCTGGGAAGGACCTAGTGGTCCCAATGGTCCATAGGGATTTTCCAGTGTAAACATCTGGCAGGTCTTGGCACTAGTTTAGAATACAAGCTGGACCAGAGGAGGTCTCTTCTGAGAACAAGAGTTGCTGGTATGCACATAGAAAGAACAACCACTCCAGCGTCTTTGTTTGAGTCTGGTATTTGTGGGGTACCAGAACGCACGTGAGGATTGCTGCTAAAAGCAAATGATGCCACATTGTGACACCTGAATTATCTACTCACCGCAGACTGTCTCTGTGCAGCACGGGTCATCGAGTCGTGTTTTTATTTTGCGTACAAAGCCCTGCTTCGTGCAGTTGACGGGTGGAGATTTAGCGCAAGGGCGGGGAAAGCAAGAGATATTCAGGGTCGCTTCATCACAAGAACAGTTTTGGCAGTCGTGCTCCCAAGTGTCTCTAGGCTGTGAAAACAATAGGGATAGTTCACAGAGCAAAAACTGGAAGTGTTGTATTAATGAATGCCTGCTGCAAGACAGGGTAGGGCTGGGTAATCCTAATTTCTTATGCAGGGCAATCAGAGTTCAAATGCCAGAGGGAGGAGAAGGAAACAATCAGAAAAAATGTTATTATCTGCCACCTTCCTTTGCAGGTTTACATGTTGGCAGAAGGAAATTTCTGGCAGTTCTACAGGAAACAGAGTTTCCCACCAACTGCTATTTCTGCTTCTGTACTTCAAGTGATTAATAAAGTTCTGGTGTTAATAAAATCTGGGGTTTTTTTTCTTCTCCAGTGTCATTGTAGTTCACTGGTATTTAAGTTTAGAATTAAAAGAAGAAACTCATACAGTCATTTTTATAGGAGGTGACAGCATCCAGCTACAGTATTAAGACAGTATTTTCCTTTTTCTTACCTGTTTCACTGACCCATCTTGTGCAGTGCAACCTGTGAAATGAATTACAGATGCCTTTAGTGATAATTGAACCAGGGGAAACAACAGAAGCAGGAGGACAGGAATAGAAGAAAGGTCTTGAAATTTAAGAAACAGCCATAAAGAGAAAGAGAGTGAAGGCACGAGTTGTGCACCCAAAACGTCTTTAAGATTATCCTCTTTGTTCTTTTGAAATTTGCACTCTCTGTATAAGAGCAGGCAGAAATTGCCAATCTGAAACAATTTGTGCCTAACTAGAAAGGGTCAGTATCAAGGTCTTCCCCACTTCCTCTGTACCCAGAACATGCCCTTAATGTGTATTTCTAGATGGGCTCTGATCTCCAGTTCCCATCTCACTATTTATATTGTTTCTTACCGCAGACAGAAACACAAATGCCATCTTGATCATTCAGTAGAGTTTTTCCATCGGGACAGTAGCATCCCTCAACAAACACTGGTGTGTTATTTTGAGAGGGGAGGGTGTCCGTAGTGGTTTCTCTGCACAATTGGAATATAATTGAATTAGAATGTAAACTGAGAGGCAGAAATGTACCCTAGGGCAATCAGACATCTAAATCCCAGGGGAATGTGAACTTAATTTTCCAGTTATGAACTTGAGAAGTGTCTTAGGACATGACCCTAAGACACTTCTGGTGGGCAGCAGGATGGCCATGAGCCAGCAGTGTGCCCTCGTGGCCAAGAAGGCCAATGGCTTCCTGGGGTGTGTTAGAAGGGGAGTAGCTGGTAGGTCAAGAGAAGTCCTCCTGACCCTTTACTCTGCCCTGGTGAGGCCACATCTGAAATGTTGTGTCCAGTTCTGGGCCCTTCAGCTCCAGAGGGACAGGGAACTGCTGGAGAGAGTCCAGCGCAGCCCCAGGGATGATGGAGGGATGGAACATCTCCCTGGGGAGGAAAGGCTGAAGGAGCTGGGGCTCTGCAGCTGGAGAAGAGGAGCCTGAGGGGTGACTTCATTCATGGTTATAAATATGTCAAGCGGGAGTGTCAGGAGGACAGAGCCAGGCTCTTCTCAGGGATGTCCAACGACAGGACAAGGGGCAATGGGTACAAGCTGGAACATAGGAGGTTCCACAAAAATATTAGAAAAAACTTTTTCCCTGTGCGCGTGCCAGAGCCCTGGCCCAGGCTTCCCAGGGAGGGTGTGGAGTCTCCTGCTCTGGAGACTTTCAAACCCCTCCTGGACATGTTCCTGTGCGATCTGCTGTAGGTGATTCTGCTCTGCCAGGGGAGCTGGACTGGATCTTTTGAGGTCCCTTCCAACCCCTGACATTCTGTGATTCTGTGATTCTGTGACCCACCTGCTGAAGCAAGTGTTCCTTTTTGCGGTCCCGCATGGCTTGTATACCTGGTCCTGTGTGCAGACGGGCTCTGCGGAGCGTTACAGTGCACGGGTTAGAAAGCCCAGACCCACGCTGAACCCTTCAACAGCTGAACCGTGCACACCGATGCAGCCCACCCCACGCGTCCACACAGCCTGGGCTGCTGCCCTCCAAGGGGGTCTCTGCAGCTTCAGTAAAAAGGGATCGATGGATTCAGGAAAGCGCCTGCGGGTCGCTCTTACCCTTGAGTCACTGGGTCCCCCTGAGCAGGGCACAGCATGCAGAAGGAAGCTGTGTTTTACCATCTAGTGATGAAGCTTTAGGTAACTCCTTGGCTGAGCTGCCCAGGAGAGACTGCGGGCCCATTTCCCACTAGTTTTGCAGCAGTTCTGGACTGGAACGACCTCTTTGAGACGTTCCTTTTTCTCAGGTCTCGGGAAAGATCGAAGCCCGATGATGTGCAGGAAGACAACTGGGTGTGCAAGTGAGGAAAGAAGCGAGGGGAGTTGCTCTCCCAGGCTTACCGCACTGTCCCTTCGCCTGCCTCCGCCAGTCCACGCAGACGCCGTGGAGCCCGCAGAGGGCTGCGTACGTCTGCATGCTCTGGCACTGGGTGCTGGGGTGCCACTCCGAGCAGCCGCTGGCCACGCATGCCTCATAGTAGGGCTGAGGGGGGACCACGCCGTGGCACTCGGTCAGGTTCCTTTGCAAAGCAAGGAGACAGACAGGACTTTGTCCAAGGAAGGACTCAACTCGGAACCAAACACGGAGAAAGCCTCAAGGTAAAGGCACGACTAGAAATAGTCCTGATAGCCAAGGCGCCCGCTCAGCTTAATTAGGAATGAGATTTTCCTCTCAGTTTTTTACAATACTGGGGAAAGAAAGTAATTTTTTGTTGGACTGCTACCTGCAAAGAAAAGTCTCCTGCACAGCTCATATCTATAATTCTGTATGCTGACATTCTCATGCCAACACGTTTGACGTTCCTGTTTTAAACCACAAAATTGTTTTAAAAACAGACACACGCATCTGCTTACTATATTCTGACTGTGTTCCTTTTCACCCAGAGCTTTCAGAAACTGAATTACAGCTGGTTCCTGGCTGGCTTCTCCAGACCTGACAGGCAGAAGGAGTGTCAAAGAGCAGACACTCTTAAGGAGGGCTGATAATGATGATACAGCTGACAAATATCTCCCAAACTCAGGAACATTCACAAATCACTTCACTGCTCGGGTTTCCAAGGTATGCTAGACTTCACATTTTCCTCATGTTCTATAAGCAGCTCACCCAAGTCGTGTGATGAAGCACAAAATTATCTTGTGGAGTTATTTTTCTGGCACTTTTGGGAGTTGTCTTACCAGATGATTTTACACACATTGGAAGGCTCACAGTGCTGATGATATTCAATTTCAGCTGATTCTGAGACGCCTGGGTTACAGTATCTGTTGGTAGGATCTGGGACTTTCCAATCTAACGCCATCTCTTTGAAGGACTCAATAACCTCACCATTCCTCTTCATAGCATCATCAGATTTCCGGTTGGTGCAGGTACCTGGCAGCAATATAAAAGCAAAGTGACCGTTTGAGGACAGTTCATGCTGATGAAGCTACTTCTAGAGAAAACCTGGAGGGAAGTTCTTCTCCCTGTGGGAAGGTAACAACCTTGTGGGGTCCTGGATGAGTTCACAAGTAGGAAAAGAATGCTAGAAGAAATAGTTTGCCAGTTACTCATGAAAACCAGAGTTGAGGCATTTATCCTGGTGGCTAAAGCAACTGGGATGGCTCTGTTTGGCACAGGACTCTCCAGACTTTGTACATTCCTGTACAGAGCAGATACGATCAAGAGGAAGGGCTTGGAAGGAGCCTATCTCCATCCACCAACAGGCTGTGAGCAGAATGAAAGGAAGTGACTTAAAACTCCATCTGCTGACTGTGTCCTTCCACCAAATAGAGATAAATTCATTAAAATTGGTGAGAAGTGAAAATCAGTGGAGTTGAAAGCATGTAGAGAAGTTTACAAGGGGGTGAGAGAAAGAACGAGGAAAAATTATTGCATTCCTTACTGTCAGCTAATGAGAACACTCACCACACAGTCCCATGGTATTGTTATAAAACTTTCCAAAAGGGAGTTTTATGTAAAAGGCAAGTCGACTGTAGGAGACATAAACTTCTAATTCAGGTATTTCAACTATGACATAAAGACCAGAACTCGTTATCCTGATCCCATTCTTGGAAATGTCTGAAACAACTTTCTTGTCATTAAACAGAATCTAAAAGAGAAGAGAAACAAAAGGTCTCTATGGCCATCCTTCCCCTGAGTAAAGATAAATTATATGGCTATTCAAGTATTCCAGTAAGGAAAGAAGTGCAGCAGAAATTCACACCCCAGGTGCATCAAATGAAGTCGGTTAAAGGCAGACATGTGAGTGCTTCTCTGTGATTCCTTTTCAATACGTTGCACTTTCTATTTGAATACTCATGTCAACTTTCACTTAGGTTATCTTCCCTCAAGTTTTTTGAATATATAAATTTTTGTTGACTTAAAGGAAAAATAAAGAGAAAGCAATGCCATTGCATCTCCTACCCGTTCTATTTTTTAAAAGATTCATCCTTTGTCGTGACAGGACATTTGGCAGAACAGCAATATAACTTCAGCAAAATAATACTGAGAATCCGTTTTAACACAGTACTTTACCAGGTTTGTTTCTTTTCCATGTTCCATTGCTTGTGTCAGAATAACGACAGAGTTGGAGTGAAAAATTAGAAGGGACATTGAACAAATTGCTCCCTCAACGGCCGCACAGTAGTAGTTGTCTATGTGAATCCAGAATTTGTGAGTGTCAGGATGAATTGACTTCACGAGGACATAGGTGCAGTTTTCTTTAAAATGGTAATATGTTCCATCAAAAGTCACATAATGCTCATTTCCCCATCCACTGCAAATGCCTGGAAGATAGAGGGACAGACTTCAGCTTTGGCTTCTGAGCTCCCTGTAAGCACAAGTTTTAACTATTTTACTAACAGTAAACACTGGTTTTAACTATTTCACTCGCTTTCAGTGAGAGCTGAAATAACCAGTTTGATAAAGAAAAACTCCTCTGGCAAAGGACATTCTTCTCTGCTCTTAAAAGCCAATAGTTTAGATGGGACGTCTGTTCCATGACATCCTACTGAATTAATATGAACATAATAGAGATGCTGACTTCTCTTTCTCAAGGCCCAGCTGAACATAACACAGATTGCAGGAATCCCCCCGCTGCAGTACTTACACTGGCACTCGGAGACTTCACAGCAGCCGGTTTCATCATGGTGTTTCGTGAATGGGAAACCGTTGACACAGAGTTTCGTTTGCTGAGTAGGGCAAGTCATGCTGGACAGTTTAATATTGTTTCCTTCTCCCAGGCAAGTGGCAATCTGGCAGTTTCCAAAGTTCCATGTTTCATTAAACTGTTGAGGCGTTGAAAAAAGAAGAGGAGAGGCACGTAACAAAGTCATGTAGAAAAATCTTTGAAGTCACAAGCAGCAACTACACTGCATTCAGTCAATTGTCTACTATGGCATAATTTGCTAGCTACTCTTCCTCTGGCAACCAGGCAATATGAAACATCTAGCAAGCAACAGAGCCTTGGTATCTACTTCTGTTCTACAACATTGTGTGTAGGACTCAATATTAAGGTCCCGACCTCTTCTGATGATGGGACCCAGTGAGATGTGGTTCCCTAGCCTTTGTTCAGCTGAGGTCGTTCTGCCCGTGTACAGTTGTTCCAGGTGAACATAATAATCTCCAACTTATTTCCTCAAATATTTGGGGGCTTCTGGTACACTTCTAAATAATCTAATTCAGCTGTAGTGAATACTAGCACCACGGTTACTAGCACCAGGGGAGATTACCAAATCTTGGCTGCAGGAAATGCTGTAGCTGAAGAAACACATTTTCTTGTTTAAGTTGAAGAATAGATTTAGACTGGATCTTAGAAAGAAATTCTTCAGTACGAGGGCGGCAAGACTTTGGAATAAATTGCCCAGAGAAGTTGTGGCTGCCAGAGAAGGTTTGGCTGCCCCCTCCCTGGAGGTGTGCAAGGCTAGGTTGGAGAGAGCCTTGAGTAGCCTGATCTAGTTGATTTTGAGGCATCCCTGCCCATGGCAGGGGGCTTGGATTAGATGATCTCTAAGGTCCCTTCCAACTTAGGCCATTCTAGGATTCAAGCATCTCACCTTTCTGGGAGGAATGAGCCCAAGACAATCACTCGCAGGAGGCCCCGTGGAAGCAGGAACTCGCCTTGTCACGCTGGGAGCAGATGTTGGTGGGCAGCCTTCGGAGCGTGGGTCACAGATCTCGGCAGCCTCAGTGTGACCAGTTTTACACTCCACCCAAATTAATTCAATCTGACACGACGCATTGCAAGTGGTGTAAGCACAACGACCTGATACATTCATTGGCAGAGAAACATTTTCTCCTGCAAGGCCAAAACTCAACTGTTAGTGCTGGATTGTGCATGAAACTGGTGACTCGTGAGGGCGATGCACCCCAGATTGGCCACATATTCAGCCCTGCGTTTAACTGGTTGGGTCTGCCCCTGCCCGATGGCCACATCCAGGGGTCACTGCCTGCAACTCCTTGAGCTCAGTGACTGAACGTGGAGTTCAGTTCATCTCAGTGGCAAAGGCTGAGGGAGGGCCAAAGGCTAATCTGAAATTGTGCTCTTAAGACATTAGTGGGGTCTGAAATTGAGTACAATCTTTGAGCGGGTCCAATCTTCAAATACCAGGAGAGAGGTGGATCAGGAGGTACTAAGAGGTGAAGCAGAGTCTTCCCTCCTCTGTTTTTGTGATATGACTGGATTACAAGCCCGTGTTCAGCAGTTTAGGGTTCAGGGTTTGTGCTGGAGCTCACTGCAGTTAGCATCTGGTAGAAGCTCCCTGACACCAGGGGTGTCCAAACGAGGACAAAGTCATAGGATGTGGGAGAGTTGTAGTTCTGAAGGAGTTAGTTACAGGTCAATGATGCAACAACTTGTGATAATGTGTAACGGTAACAGGCTGAATAAGCACTTGCTGAAGCACTTTTATCAAGCAGTACATCTTCCCACATCAATGGTGCAGAAAGAAAAAAAGGCTTGGTTTCTCACCCATTTGTATCAATTGCCCATTGTTGTTGCAGAAGCAGGGAGTGGCTACCACTGACGGTGGAGATGCGGATGTTGCCACTTGCATATGTGCTTCTGCAGGAAATAAAATCAATCGATATTCAAATCCTCTGCTACTCTACTTTCAAGCCCTATGGCATCTATTACATTTTCTGGAATCCCAAAAAGAGGAAAAAATAATCATTTTCATACCTCCAGCACATCCTGTACACATACATGTTAAAACTGTCCTCCTGGTGCTTATACACACTCGGTTATACTATATGCTACTCGAATGATACACACACACTCCCCCTTGTAGTTGTTTTCTTTCTACGTAGAATACAATAAACCACCCTTCTATTGCCATTTATTAATTCCAATTTAAGGTTTCTCTGAACTTTCTAATCCTGCAGGACTTTACCTGGCTTTGGAGAGCTGATTTCCAGCGGCACTCCATTTGGCTTTTTAGTGCCTTGTTGCAAGGATTCTGTTGGTTTAAATACAGGCAGATTGTTTAGACATTTTACTATACCACCTACACTCTGCTTTCAATAGTCCTTGCTTTGCTTGCTGTTTCTCCGTTATATTTCTTACTCCACTTGTCAACACATTTAATAAATACCAAACACACGGGGTCACCATCAAGCCTCTTCCAATCACCACCAAACCTCTTATAAATCTAGTACCTTGTGCTGGTGTGGATGGTGTTCTGCAAGGGGTGAGCGTCCTAATGATGACTCCGTCAGGGCCACAGACAGCATCACCACACTCGGGCCCATAGACTTGGCTGTATATAGTTTCATTTAAGGTGTAGGTCCTTCCATTGTAGCAGCAAAGGCAATCTGAGGCACCAAAAAAAAAGTAATGCTCAGCAGAGGGCATTTGTAAGATGAACACAAATGGAAAGAAACCCAGATTTTGGCTTTACCCTCCTTGTATCATCAAACACAAATGACCTGGCGGAAAAACTTCCTTGGTTTCTACTTGAGAAGTTGCACGGGGAGTCTACCTCATTTATTTAAAGAGAGGGTTGAATTTTTGTTGTTGCTGGTGTGTCTTGTAGTCACCTTGCACAGAGGAATTACTGGTTGGTGAAAGCATCAAGGCTGGCCCTGTCTTCACCCACAGCTACGTGCCCTCTTGGCAGGGAATGGGACTGGGATTACTGCCTTGCAGAGGGACAAAGCACTGGCTCAGAAGGTGTTGCACAGCCATTTCTATCTCAAGGAACACACAGTGTTAAACAATTCCATTTAAATATATGAGAAGCTCTCCAGGTATTGGAGAATGCACGTGCAGGAGCTCAAGGGAATGCATTTATACTGTAACAAAATCAGCAAAACTAAAGACGTGTTGTCTGCTGGGCCACCCTGCATTTCGGGATGTGGGTTCTCCCAGGTAAGGGAATGGACTGACACCATACCTTAAGCAAGTGTGTCCTTTAGACGCACAAGCATGTTTCTCCTAAGACAGGCTTATTATGAAATTAGTGGTCAGGAAA